TGGTGCCATCTGCTGGAGAAGGAATACAAGAACCAGACCTCCGGTTTCACAATATTCAAACACAGAACAAATCCCCGGTTATAAAATACATTGCAATTTCTTTCTTTCTTTCTTTCTTTTTTTTTTTTTGGCCCCTAAACCAGGTGCCCTTTTTTGATAACTGTGACCAAATTTGTGATTGAAATTTCAGATAAATTTAAATTGCCTTTGATTTCAATTTTGAGTTTCAGTCCCTTATTTTTAAATAAGTTGAAAACATCAGAATGAAGGTTTTCTTTTCTAAGTCCAACTTGATTGTTCTATGGGATAGGCTATTTAATAGCTGACCCAGATATGCTATGGTAACAGGTAGCCTGTCTTCTTTTCAGGTTTTTCTGTCATGTCATTTGATAAACGTGTTGTGATTTTTAATAGTCTTTTTTAGCCTAGGTTTGTGTCATAAGAGCTTAGTTATTGAATAAGTGTCTGTGAGCCCGGCTCATTGTCCGCGGACGAGCCAAAAGCGGAAAGACCTGAGGCGAAGAAAGAAGCGGAACTTTTACCTGACGCACCGGAGTGGAGCTCCGAGACACAGGTACAAATACACAGGTACAGAGACACGGTATAAGTACACGGTACAAACACGACCGGAGCACCGTCCTCCATCCATGGAAGTGTAAGATATTATTACAGATGCATGCCTCCATAACATTTATCAGATTATTATTTATCAGACTCACGTGCAGCTGTACTCAGGTCAGTCTCTGTTCTGCACAAGTTTTATTACCCCATGTTTTGTAGTTTCTGTTTGGTTGGGATCAGTGGTGGCTTGTCTATAGAGGGTGCAAGTGCGCTGCACTCCTTAACTTGACCTAGATTTAAAAAAAAAGAAAAAAAAGTTCATTATTCAGTCACTCCACACTCAGTGGTGGTAAGCTACTACTGTAGCCACAGCTGCCCTGGGGCAGACTGACGGAAGCGAGGCTGCCAATCTGTGCCATCTGCTTGTGCTTAGCTTCTGAGATCTGACGGGATCAGGCTTTTACAAGCCGGTATAGCTACGAGCTACAGCTATGGTGAGTTCAACTTAGAGTCAAAGTGCAAGGAACAGTTTTTAGGGAGTAATGTTTTCTCTTCAGCGGGACCCTTGTGCCAAGCAAGAAAAGAAGCATTAAGCTGAAATAAGTGCATCTGGTTGCGGTGGAATCCTACGGCTCTTGTGTTGATTCACACAATGGCTAATGACAGCTAGCTACTCGCCTAAACCTCCACACAGGAGAGTGGGAGAAGAGTACTAAAGACACCGGGGGTGCTGCGGCGGCAGGGACTCGGAGGCACTTGCTTGTTTCTAGGTGTAACAGATTCAGGTCTTAAGTCTACCTGGCGCCCTAGTGCTAATATGGACTGGCTGTAACTTCTAGATTTAAGTGGGAAGTGAGATTAAGACTAGTTTTACAACCAGCTCGTGCGTTCGGCTCCCGGACCTTGTGCCACGAACCTGACTGGAACGGGACTTTGACCAGTTTGAGCTCTTCATATTGGAAACAACAAACAGGACAGTGGGTAGGGATACGCTCTGCATCAGTCCCCTGGAGAAGGTAAGAGGCTTGTTTTCGTTAGTTATGGGCAAATCTGCGGGCGGAGCTTCACAAGTATATGGTGTTAATAGTCAAATAGGGCGTAAATGAGCTCGGAGCTGACGGTGCTGATCTGGTTGTTCTGCCGTGTGCTGTAGGGGCGGCGCTGATGCCGTGTGTTCATGTTGTAGTTTTGCTGACGTTGTTGGAGCTGGGTGTGAACGGTGTATTTAGTTCAGCCAGTAGTGGCCAAAATGACTGTTTCTGGCATTCGTTATAATACTATATTTATATGTGCCATGTTTACAAGCATGGATAGCTCAACTACTTTCTCAACAAAGCTGTAGTACCTACCTCTATACATCTGGAGAGACCTGGATGCTCTGATCTGCCCACACACCAACAGGGGGCAGTCAGGAGCCAAAGGAGACCCAACATCCAGGAGTCCTCAAACCCAGAGGTTAGAAGTCTGGTCTGGGAACTTACTCCTCTGGAGGACAGTGCTCTGGTCAGGGTGCTGTGTGAAGAGTTGGAGCGGGCAAGGACCAAGCTGGCAGATCAGGTCCAAATAACCAATTCTTTGGATAGCAAGTTTAAAACTCAGGAAAGGATTGGAAAAGAAAAGGACTTGGAGTTGCAAAAAGTCACTGCTACTCTTCAGAAGAAGAACAAGCAACAACAAGACCAAGTTAACGCAGAATCCAAGTTAGTGCGTACAAGAAGATATCTCTACAATAACACAATGAGAGACAATGTCCAGTTTAAACAAGATATAGCCCACATTATTAAAGCCCATAGGAAGATGAAAAGAAAAATCTAAAAAACCTAGGAACACTCAGACCACTTGTATTGATATTGGTGTAGATATAACCAAGAAAGAAAATGAGAAACACCAAGGTGCAGGAGCTGTCCTCTCTTTTCAACCATAGATCCATGTTCTCAACACAAGAGGAGCTGCGTCTCCTGAAGTTTTGTGATGGTCAAAGGTCACAGTGATCCAGCCGCCTAGAAGGAGCGTCCATAGTGGACGAGCAGAGGAGGGCTCCCAGTTATCAACAGCCCTAAAGTGCATCTAACCATTACCCATTTCAGATGCATTATTAAAAAGGTTCTAAATGCATGCACTGACCTTTTATTTAGTCTTTATTCATGTTACATTTTTATTTATTTTTTGTCATATTGATTAATTCACATATCAGCCACATAGCATACTGCTGTTGCTTGATTTTTATGCAGAAATGGGTAGAGTGGATGCACAGAAAATAATATAATACATGATAAAAACCTGCTAATTATTCAGGAACATGCTGTATTTGTCCCTCCTGGATTGACTGTCCTATGCACTTGAGCAGCCAGATTTCTCAATGCAAATCTGTCTCTGCCCGTAATTGCAACTCCGGCTGTAAAACTGTTGAAATAACACAATTTCTTGCCAAAAATTACCTGTGTCCACTATTTTATTAGTAGACCTACAGGAATAAAATGCTATGATCCTCCTCCTGAGACGATGTGCTAGGCCTACAGGGTGTGGGGCATGTGTCTTGGCTTTGGTCATGGCTTCAGGGACTTTTCTTTTGGTGAAGTAACAATTATTGCCATTGTTCTCACTTCAAATGCTTGTGTGCTCTGGTAATTTATTCGAGGTCACATAAGGAAGAATGCAAAAGGCCTATGATAAAAACAAGTTGCCTTCTTCAGGTCATGCTACCAGGTCCTTCATTAATAGTTTGACTGAAGCATTTAAGTGCTGCTACACTTGGGTAGACACAATAATGGCTTAGAAAATAAAATTCCTAAGTGCTGTGGAAAATGGCCCCTGTCCGTTCGTAATAGGTTTCCTGTAAGTTCCCTGCAGAGGACCTTTAAAAGTGCTCGCGGCATGTGGCTCTGAAGCTATAAGCAAAGTGCACATCTCCACTCGTGGAAAGTCACGCAGCGGCAGAGACTTCGGAAAAACAGAAATTCAACAGTTTCACTAAATAAGTCATAAACAATCAAGTAATTTTTCCCGTAAGAGGACCACATTATTATATACTTGTATTTTGAGCACATTATAATTAATCCCATATGCATCACAACAACCTTAGAGCCACATTGGAAAATAGTTTGAAATGACTTGGAGTGGAATGACTTGGAAGATATTATTTGTGCATAGAATTAAACCTCTACATGAATATACAGTAAGGCAACAAGTAAGGAGGAATTTGACAGTGGCAATTGTACTCTTACAAACTTAGAAAATAAAGACAACATGGATTACCTGCACTACGCTTATTGAAGTCAAACCTTTGGTCATCAACAGTCTTCAAGCCTGCCAATTGGGAGTGTGTCTGAAATTTGTTGTAATAGCACACTCCTTGCAGCTTTTGGAGCCCACGTCTAACCTTGGCTGACAGTGATTAAATCAAGCATAGGAAAGTTCAAATGGGTCTATTAAAAGTACAAGGACGTGGATTTGTACAGATGTGTAGCTTCAGGTTTGACGTCTCAACTCAGTGCGGTTCATTTTGTGCTGCGTGAGCTTTTTTGTCAGCTTCTGTTTTTTCCATGTTGGTTTGAGGAGCTGGGACTACACACATGACCACCCTTACTGAAGGTTTTCCATCTACAGATGCTTGTGGTATACTATCCAGTCTGTGTTTATGGAGACTCCTAAACCATGCCCCCTGTCAGGTTAATTGACAATAACTTATTATAACTGGAAAGATTACGTACTATGTATCAGTTTAAAGGTGCAAGGTCCACCATTTGCTTGTCTCTATGGCAATATTGTTGTTTTGCCAAGAATGTTCAACAGTATGGCATTAAACTCCCTCCCACCCGAGCTAGTAACTTTATATGCACTATGGCGATTCATCACTTTCTTTGTCTGACTCTCAAACCACAATACATGTTTTAGCTTTCGTATATTATTTTCCTAGCACATTGGCTCATTCGTCATAGCATTGGAAGAATTGCAGCTAATGACCCACTGGTTTGTATAACTCCTCATCTGAAAGTCTCCAATGACATCTCAAGCTGTCATTATTTCAGATTGCTGTAAATGTGTCAGTGCTTCCCTAACTTCAGACTTGTTGACAGAATATGACATTTACTGTGATTCTCTTCTCACTGCAGTGTTACACATTTTGCTGTGTTTTCCAGCTGGCTGTTGCAAATCTCATCGACACATACTGAAGTTAGGCTGTGCTGTCAGAGGAAGAACTGGGGAATGCATTAGTTTTACAAGCATGCCACCTTTCATTTGCCATGGGGGTGCAAAGTCTATACAGCAGGTGAGGTATTGTTACTTTTCTCAAATATGCTTTATTAATTTTCATGTATTTTTGCATTATTTATTATTATATATAATTTGGGGTAAATATTTGGCTTTTGTCTGATCTCATAGTATTTTTCTGAATGTTTATGAAAAATAGAAGCATAAAATAAAAGCAGAGACACGAGTTGTTTTTATTATAACATGTTTATTACATTATAATACAAAGTCCTATGTACAAACGCAAAAACTAAATTTATACAGTAAATACAGTGCTTGATATACACAAGCAAATGACTTTCAAAAATACTAACCATGTCTTTGGCAAGAGTACCACCTTTGTTTAAGACATTTTGATAAATTGTATATGGCATAGTTTGTGGGAAAATCATTAGTCTTTGTGGCAACCAAATTGTTCTTGCATTTGACATATTTAAGCTGTAAAGAAATCACTGGATATGTCTCCTGTGTCTTATCTATTGGATTTAAAAATATTCTCAGTCTTTAAGTTGACCTGAATACCACTTTAATGAATGCTAAATTAAAATAAAAATACAGTAAATTGAGACATAATATTGTGGAGGGTTGTTTTAATATTGCACTTTTAAAAATAGTTTTATGAGCTACTGAAGCCTGGCCGTAGAAGAGTCTTTGGCAGCTCTAATGGAAGGTGTTGGGGTTTGGCCGGACCATCATCGTTACTTTCTTCAGTGAATAGGCTCCACCCCTGAATTCAGCCCAATAGACTCCGTCCTGGTAGCGGCTGCGGTAGTGTCCTCCTCTGTACCACACTCCATTGAGATTTGAATGGGCACAAGAGTTATACCACCAGCCTCCCTTCTGGTAATGTGCACAGTTTCCTAAAACAAACCAAAAATAGGCCTTGAAAGAGCTTCTCAAAATATGAATTAAGTATTGTTAAATTTATTTTTTCTTAATAGTGGCTAGTGGAAAAATAAACACTTAATGATATAAAAATAAAATAACTTGCAGTCTTTTGCATTTTTATTGAGATTTTCTCAGATGGTCATATCATCATTTTACAATGTAAAATGATGATATGACCATCTTTAAATGTCATTTAAACCCATATCATATAGAAATTTTGATTCGGCTGCTGTGTATAATTAGTGCAGACTTATAATCTTACCTGTGTATGTGTCATGGTCTCTGTCTAGCGTGGTGAACTGCTTGCCATTGTGCCAGGTTAGAGAGTCCCCTGCATTTCCATGGTAACGGCCTATGCGGAGCTTGTAGAAGTCAGCCTCATTTTCCACCCTGAAGCTGGCGTACTCAGCAAACACCTTCCTTCCAGACCAGTCCTCCAGAGTCACCAGGAGCTTGTAGTTGCCCTGGTTCGTCAGCCAGTAGATGTTCTCCAGACCGAGCCAGTACTCACTGTCTATATTGCCAAAGCCTTGCTATAAAACATATTGAAAAACCAACATAGCTCTGAGATTATATAAACATTCACTACAAAGTATACTATTGCTGATTATATATTTATATATTTTTTGATATATTTTCATTTTTTATTTTCATCAGATGTAACTGTCAGTTTACTTATTGGGTCGGAACAGCAGCTGTGTGTGATTGGATAAACATAAGACACATCCCATGAATTTAAACCCACCAGATTAAAGCCACTGACAAATTTCCATCCATAGTCTCTGTACATTGGATTCATATGAAAAGTGTATTCAGGTTGTCTAAAGCTAAACCCCTTTGTACCTAGACACCTATTTAAACAAATGATTATACAAGATTCCATTGAACATTCCATAAAATGAAAATTCTCACTAAATTACTAATCTGATTATTGCTGTATCTAGTCAGTGTGGACCAAATGTATTATTACAAAAACCTGCCTACAGATATATACCATTTAAAATATGTGTACTCCTGTCCATCAAAACGTAGGTTTACAAAAACTGTCCAACTCAGTCTAACTGTAACTTACTGCCTCATCTAACTTTTTATAGATCTTAGAACAGGATAAAATCAAGTGTGCATCAGGACTAAACTGGGTACAAACCAAGACTAAACCAGGTGTATGAACGCACCCTTTGAAGCTGTCTTTTCAAAACATACTTATTTCTATAATACCAATAAAACAGGTGAGCCCATGAGGTGTGATCGTTTGAATTAGTGGTTCACAGACTTGTGGTTGTAACTTAGAGCAGGTTCTACAGCAGACACATTCAACAGGTCAACAGTCACCAATTCACTACAGTTTTGCTCTGGCTTATGTCAAAACAACATTTATAAGCCCCCCATTGCCTACACACTTTGAGATGCCGAAGGCTGTTAGATTCACACCTTGTATGTTTCCCAGTTCCTGAAGAAGTTGACAGAACCATCTGAGCGCCTTTGAATGACAGTCCAGCCGCCGGGGTCATGGCGCTGGTCACACCACACCTGCATCAGCTTGTTACTGCCCTCGGGCTTCACCAAATACATGCCACTGTTGGTTTGGCCATCCTCCAGCGCCTCCAGGCAGTCTTTAAAGGGTCCTAAGGATGAAGAGGCCAACAGGGTAAGTCAAACTCTCATAAGCAAGTCAAGTTGTGAAAAACATATTTTATATATGTACTACAATATACACTATACAATATTTTATATTATATACTACAATGTACAGTCTCAATTTTAGGAAGGCCTCTTAAATCCTCTTAGCAGCAGAATTGACTTTGGCTACAGTTCTCACAGGGAAATGTGTGTACAGCCAAAAGCAACACAGGCACCAGGGAAAAAGGAATTCTGACGACTGTTCAAGGAAACAGAAGCTATACGTAGCTCAGGCAATTGATTATCAATTTGACATTGGTTTGATTTGTATACTTTGGATAACAAACCATGACCAAGTAAAACTGTATCTCAAGCAAAAGCAGTAACAAGCTCCAATACAAGTGTGGTACCAGTACTAAGTCTGCCTAAACTAGTGTGTTGTGGATGCTGTAATCCATTACAGAATACAGATCACATAGGCCTACATACTGTAACTATGAGCATTGTTTGTGAAGTCTTCTCTGACATCCCTTTAACAGCCAGAATATCTTTATTGAGGGGATACGAGGTGGAGAGCTGCCCTGCCCTGTCCTGTGTTCTGCCTGATAAACTCTGGTGGAACATTTGACTGATCTCAACCCGGTGCAGATGGAACAAATGACATCACCAACTCACTGACGCTATCTCGCTCACCATTTTTTCCTTTCAACCATAATGTCTTTCAGTTTCCCTTTCTCTCTGTGTTGTAATGTATCAATTCTTATTGATTTAATCATGAAATAATTATCCTTTATTCAAACCATCTACAAAGAGATCACTATTCCTATACTCTTGGCAGAAAATGGCAAACAGTAGCATTAAGCATGACTGGAAAAGGTCTGGTAATGCTTTCCACTATTGAGTTCCATCAGGAGTGCTTTAATGAAGGGGAACTGTAATAATGCAGTGTACTCCATTTACTGCTTTTGATATAGTACTCTTTATCATCTGCCAGCATGTTTGAAGGTCCATTTAGGAGCAAGTATTCACCCTTCAGATCTGCTTTCTATTATGGCAGTGTGCAGAGGGCATCTCAGTGCCACTCTGTAGAGGGTACAACTCACAGTTGTCCTTTTCCCATTGCACTTACCTGAAGGCTTGTTGGTTGTTGTGGGGCCTTGTGTTCCTGTAGGCATTGTGGGCAGAGGAGACAGGGACTTTTGGTCACTCTGGATCTCATTGGTGATCTGGTTGTTGATGCGTGGTGGCACTGGGGACTTGTTCAGTGGAGGTGACACTGGTGGGGGCTGTGGGCGTGGTTGTGGGCGGGGCTGAGGGACCTGTCGTGGGGGTGGGCGTGTTTGACACTGCTCCTCTAGCAGAGCGATAAGAGCCGACTGGTTTGTGGCCAATGAGGCTAAGTGCAGGTATTTATGTTCCAGGTCTTTGTAGCGGCTGGTGAGCATCTGCATCTCAGAGGTCTGGTTCAGGATCTTGTTCTCCATCTGGGCCAGCTCCAGAGCGTTGTCTCTCTTGCGGATGATCTCGTGCAGCAGCTGCATGTACAGCTGTGTGACACGGGAGTTCATGTTGCGACTCTCTTTCCTCAGCAGTTTGACCTCTGTCACAATGCCCCCGTCCACCTCCACCAGCTGCTGCAGTGTCTCAATCTGACGCTTCTGTTTTTGCAGCTCCACATTGAGCAGCTCCAGCTCCTGTTTGTTGACCCGGCTCTCCAGCGAAGTCTCTGGCTCCTTTGAATTCACACATATGGCACCTGTAACTTTCTGTTGGGGCACTATAAAGGTGTAGGAGCACTTGTCCTGGGGTATTTCAGCTGGGGCACGCTTACTCCTCCCTGTGTAGAGAAACTCTCTTTCTAAACCAGCATCGCTGCTGTCAAATTCTTGTGTGCCGGACTTGTCATGGCCTCTTTCTGAAGGACCATTCTGAGTCTGAGCTCCAAAGACCAAAGCACATGCAAGAAGGAGCCCCAGCAGCACCGGTGAACGGGACTCCATGTGGGTGTGTCCTGTGCACCAACACCTGGAGGAGAAACAAAACAAAACTATTAGTTTAATGAGTAAAATCTAACATGACGAATGTAAATAGTAGCACCTTGCAAATGAGAGTTCTTTTGTGATTACATGTGTGTTTTCTTTTAGTGCACATCTGGTGTATTTAATTGGTAATCCTTAAATTACAATCTGAACATTTCTAAGTAATGATGTGTTATGAAATGCTTTTTTAATTAGTTGCGTTGACAGAAATAGCACACCCAATAACTGTCTTCACAGGTTCTGGCCTCTTCCCCCAGTGGAAAAGACTCGTACATGATGTCATTTGTAAAATGTGTTGATTGTGTGTTGGACTATACCTGGTCTGAACCGGTCTTAGATGGAGGGATTTCATATTAGGTATTTTTATTATTGTATTTTATTTATCAAAAATGTGATCCAACTGCATGCCCCAAAGAACATTTAGTGATAATGAGATGTGACTTCTTTTCAAAAGTGTTTTTTGTACATTCTTTCAGCTGTTGCAAAAATATTTGTATACAGTTTTGAACTCCATGCACTCCACTGAAGTAGACTCTGTGTTGAATGTATAAGAATAACATGTCCTTGAACTCCCAGGGCACCTTAATTGAAAACTGCTATAGATTGGGTTACACATGAGTGTAATGTACTAACACCTCTGGTTTGAAGGGGCTAGTGCCTAATCACACATTTTGAAGATGTTGTCAATAGTGGTTTGGTTGAAATAGCAGCTATGGTATTGCTTATTATTTATTTATTTTTGTATTTATAGGTAATATGTATATACATATTATACATAATTATAAAAATCTTACAGTTTGATGATGGTATGTAAAATAGAACATGCCAGTCTCAATTTGATAAGGAAAGACATTCCCAGTAGCTGTCTTGAATATGTCTTGAAAATCTCTGTGATGTCTATTAATAATCCCAGAGTCAGTGGGAGCCCTCTGAGTGTTACTGATATAGAGGAAAGGCAGATCTCAATGCAGTGATTGAAGTGTGAGATCCAGCAGCAGTAGGAGCAGAGCCCACACTGAGATAATGGAGCCTGTCCTGTGCTGTAATGGTAGTGGACTATGTTTGGCCAGTGGCTCCTGTGGTTTCTTTAGAACATGAGCTGTGTTCGGAGAAACTCGGTGTTACATGCCCCCGCTGCAGAGGAGTCTCGGTTTGGATGTCATTAGACTGGTTCTCCTGCTCCCAGCTCCACTACACTTCAAAGCCTGAGGAAAATGCTTACAGCTTGTGATGAAATGCCTTTTGTTGTGTGAGTGGATGTGCTTTGTCAGTAAATGTGTATTTTAGTTTCAGACTCATGCCGGGTTAGTGTCTCTGTGACTGGAGAGAGTCCCATCTGTGCTGACAGTGACAGCCTGTTATTACACCATCTACTGTCTGCCCCTCTGCCTGTTAACGGACCCCCGCTCATTACAGTCTGCTGCACATCAGCTCACTTTAACAAGCTACCACTGACCGGTCAGCAACACTAGTGTTTAACAATGCTAATAAAAAATATACATGGCCTTTTGAAGATATAACTATACAAGCAATCACTGTGTACCTATAAAGCAAACATGTTTCCGTTTGTTTGACTCAACATGATGTCTTTATTAATTGCAATGAATCACTCAGTAGCACTACCACTATGCCCAGGACATTGCTTAGCCTGAGCACATATTAATTGGAGAGGTGGGCAGCTCAGACAGGCCGCTGTCTCTCTCAAGCCCCTCTCATTTCACCGTGAACATGGCATTCCTCACATTCTTCAGCACCTCATTAGACTGGGCTGCCGTACATACTGGAGGGTGGCACCTGTAGAGCATTTCAGACATGGCACCTCTACTTCTCCTCAGACTTCAGTTCCTACAGATCCTCTGGATTGACTGACCCAGTTCACTGCAGCATAGTGCCCTACTTCTGAGTGAATGCCTCATAATCACATCATCATCACAGATTCTCAGCACTTCATCTGTCTGTGGTTTGAGTCAGAGCTGTATACTCACATTAGAGCAGGGGCTCAGACCTGGCAGAGTGTCCTGCATTACACCTCTAGTATATGTGTTGGATCAAAGTCAAAGTGCATTTGCTCATTGAGATGTACTATTGCATGACCTTGTGGACAGTCTCGTTCCTTCTTTGGAATGTAATCTGTGTAAGCATGAACATGACATGTAGAACATAATTAAGCTAACTACCTGTTGAGTGTGTGCAGTGCACAATGTGCACTGCTGCAAACATAGAGCATTGTTAGGAATCCCCACAGAGCAGGCCAGTGCACGCACTATTCTAAACACAGGCTTATTTTGTGACCTAAGTCTGGCCTATAGGCGCGTCACCTGTGATTGGAGTCTGACAGGAGGCAGCAGTCTGCAGTTTTCTCAAAAGTCTTTTATACAAAAAGCACTTCTCAAACAAAGAGTGAATTCAGCCTCTCACTCTGCTGTCCTCCTGAGCCCAGGGAACATCCTGAACCAGCAGGCTCCTGCACTGAACCAGATTATCTCAGCCATGTCCGTAGCCCACCTCCATAGCCCATCACATGGTATGTTACTATAGCATAGCACTCTTAAAATATAGGTCCTCTTTAGATGTGAAAGCTCTGGGCATGACAACACTGCTCTCCAACATCTCTGCTCATTCATATATTCATTATTTTATCTCTGTTTAGTTTGTTAGGACAAAAATGCTGATTAGTATTAACTGCATCGATAAAATTTGTGAAATACTTACAAGATAACTTTAGAACTCTGAGGAGTATTTTTAGTTGCCGCCGTGCCCTTGAGCACGAGCCAGTTGAAGTCTGTCTTGGTAAAAAGTCATCCCAACAATAAAGGCTGTCCTCTCTAGTCTCTGTGTCACCTCAGTCCATTCCAGCTCCAGTAGTGAGCTCTGTATTCAGGTGAGTGTGAGAGACACTGTTATTAGCCCAGTGGAGCCCAGTGTAAGAAATTCTTCATTGAGAGTGTAGTTTCCTAAGGCTCCTCAGGTCATGTAGATCCCTTTTGGTTTAGTCCTGATAGATGGAGGTGTTCCCAGGCAGCTTGTGTACAGCGTGCGGCCCGTGAGGAGACTACTGTCACTTTTTAGTGGGTTGAATCCATCACTTCTGCCTCACAGCTCCAAGAGGCTGTCTCTCTCTTCCTCTGCTACACCTCTCTCTCTCTCTCTCTCTCTTTCTCTCTCTCTCTCACACACACAGACTTTTCCCCTGTCTCCCCTCCCTCTTGTTGGTGCTTTTTAAATGATGAAAACTCCTGTAGCGGTAAGCAGTCTCCCCCCAAGCCTCTTGAAGAGTGAACATTTCTTTTTTAGCAAATCCCCTCCTCCCTATGGCACAAAAGACAGCCACAACACATAAACACACTCTGCTCAAGTTACTCACCCCCAGCCCCCTCAATGCCCCCTAGCCAGTAGTTCACCAGTTGCACTATTTATGGCATGGACAGCGTTGCATGGTTGTTCTGGTTTTGGGCTGTAGTGATGTTCCACTAGTGAGATGTTGTTTGGCCGTGAATGAGTACTTGGCTATGGCTTTGTACTGCAAAGAATATTTCTCAAATAAAAATAGAAATGTAAAACTTTAAAATAATTAGTGTAATGTCCACATCCAGTTGGATACGTTATTACTATGTCCTGAATGTTCCACAGTATGGCATTAAAATCAAGTGATGCTACCAGGCCAAGTAACAGGTCAATTCTGTGGAGTGGCAACCTCACTTGTAGTAGGAATACACATTTTGAAGGGTTTTGGCAATACAAACACTAAGATATTATTCGGTAATACAGGTAATTAGACATGCCCAACTTGTATTGTCAGATATGACAACATAATTATATGCTCATTAAGATTTCTTGAGAGCCAAAACTAAAAGAGTAACATAATGACAATGAATAGCATCACTTGAGTAGAAGTTTCAAGTACTAAGGTAAATATGACATAGTAAACGTAAGTCATTAGTACTCACCTATGACCTGGACAGAGGGAAACAGCCTGACAGTTAGGAAATGGGTCCAGGTGTTGGACTCAGACCTGGCTTGGGCTGAGGGGATAACAGTGCTTTATAGCCTAAAGGTGAGAGGCAGCTTGTACCAGACACAGGGTGGAGAAATGCTCTACTCTCTTAAAAGTACAATTAAATTACTTAAAAGTAGAATCTTTAGTGAGCTCTAGTGAATACAACAAATACATATTTAAGAATAAATTGAGACGTCTGTCTTCTTTGGGGTCTCAGTGGTAAGGCTGAATGCCCTGAAGGACTTTGTAACAGGAATTTTCTTGGCATTGGCCCAAAGCCAGCAGCTTTTAAAGTGATTTTGTAATTTGTTTTTATTATCTTTTTCCTTTCTCCCGAAAGTGAATATTTCAGAGGTGTCATCAACCAACTGTTGTCTGCAGCTAACCAGCTTTTAAACAAATGCTTATAGTGCAATGCTGGTATTGTGAATTGAAATAGTTTGTTCATAACATTTTTTGTGTAAACACTGATAAATGTCTTTTGTAATGTGTTTTGAAATGGTGCCTTAGCAATAATCATGAACATGCTGCAGTTTCATATTTTAACCACCAGTGTATGAGCTAATGTGGAGCACTTGCTAACTTTAATATCATAAAGCCATTTGTGTTAACGATTCTTTAGAAATGTCTCAATCATAAACACGTCTCTGCCCTCTCATGTCTCCAGCCCATGCTGTTGAATTGTGATACTACTTTGTAACTCTTTGAAAGTTTAATAGGGAACAATTTTACTGAAAAGATTTAGTCTGAAATTGTTTGTGACTCAATATTTGAAGGCGCAGAGCCACTGATGTCTTTGTCGGCAAGTTTCCTCTTTTCTCCTAACCTAAATAAAGAGGCAGCTGAATGTTTTCCCTGATGACACAGTCAGAATGTAATGTTGGCTCTGGGACACAAGGTTCCTGGCAGTAACTACTAAAACTCAAACACACATGTGATAGGTCTTTAATAAGAGCCCAAACAGAAGGCAGATTCACACAGTTGACAGATGATTGTTGTGAAGATGTTGTGGTCAATGAAAAAGAAAATCATTAAATCAGAATTACTTTGCAGTAAAAGCCTGTACAAGTATTTTACTCTAGTAAAAGTAGAACTGGAAGAGCTAAAACATGCAAAATAAATGTACTCATTCTACAAGCTGATTGAAAATGATGCTTGGGTTTGTACCTCCCCTGGTATCCATATGCTTTTTTTTTAATGAATTAAATTGCTTAAAGACTGATATTTAAGTAACTTTATATTTCCTTTTTGGGTTGGTGCAACTGGTGATGAACAAGTGCAGACAAATAGCAATGTTCAACTGGACTGCATTAGCATATGGTATTTGTATTTATAACAATAGCATGCAGAACTTGTACAGCTCATGACATGTTTAGCCCCTTTGAAATTTTAACACTCTACATGATTAGGTAAATGTAACCTGTAAGATTCAGTATTGTAACACTTTTCATGTTTGCAGAGTCATTGTCTTCTAGATGACGGCTGAGGCTGATTCAGTCTTGCTCAGAGTCATTTATGTCTGCTTCTCTGTGTGAGACATTTGAAGGACTGATTGAGTCCCGTCCAAACCACAGTGTTGATGCAGTGATTAGTCTTCTTTCCATATCTAATCCTGAGCAGGTGGAGCCAGTCTGAATCATAAAAATGTCAAGGGGAAAATGTTACTCCCACACTGAAATGTTACCCAATCAATGCATTTTAAAGCTGCAGGAACCACATGGGAGGCATAATGGAAAGTGGCTTTATGTTGTAAAGACATTACAGTTGGTTGCTATGTGCAGGAGATGGATGAAGTGTTGAAGTTTGTGTATTTGTTCAGATGATCAGAGGACGCACAGGTATACTTTGTGTGTAGCATTTGGGACTATAATAAACCAGCACAGTCTGAGTTGAAAATTATTATATAAAATGTTGTGAAAACACAAATTTAGTGAATAATGACAACTTTTTGATTACCAAAGTAGAGGAATATAAATCTTACAGTAATACATTAATACTATAGGATCAAAATATAATCAAATATAATCAAGTAAATAAATTCTGAGTAAGATGTTTACAAAAAGAAAAGAATAAAAACATGGTACAGAAAATGTCTGAGCAATCATCGCATCAAAGTTCCAATGAATGTTGGACCGTGACAGTGATGCACCTGCCATATAGTGGAGGTTTTGATGCCCAAGTGGCTGATTCCTATGCAAATATATATAAAGTACAGTGTTGGAATATAATGAAGTAAAAGTAGTAAAGTACTGTTCTTAAGTATCAGTTTTAGATATCTGTCTGATATCTTTACTGATGTACATTTTAAGGTAGTTACTTTTACTTCACTACATTTGAAAGCAGGTTTTTGTACTTTCTACTTGACTGCATTTTTGAAGAGGACAACTGAAAAGACTGAGGGCTTTGTTTTTTAACACAGTTTAACAAAAATATACAAATAAAAAAAGCTAGAAAAAATGATAACTTCAGTTGTTTGTTATACTTTTTACTCAGGAATCTCTACTTTTACTTAACAAAATCAAGTACTTCTTGTGTGCACCACAAAATGATTTTTTAGTCACATAGGTAATATGTGTGTGATTTTTATAGCTATCTATTACCTGCTCAAAATACCTTTAAACAGGCTGATTCATCTTAGCATAGCATAACATAACATTGCCAGCCACTTGGGCATCAAAACCACTAAATGGCTGCTGCTTTATTACTGCTGGCACTGTCCAACAGTCCTGGGAGTGTTAACTGCATAATGCATTATTACTGCATGGTACATAAACTACAATTATTCAGTGTTCATTACTTTAAACAACAAACGTCTCTATACATAAGCCTGTCTGAACAATATATTACCTCAAGTCCCGTATGGGCAGTAAACCCAGCTGTGTTAAACTAAACATGTGCAGATTACACTTACACTGTATTGATGCCGTCAGTGTAACCTCTGTGCACATGGATCCTCCTATAGCATAAGGTGTAACATAAGGCCAGAGTGTCCCCCTGTCTGCGGTCATGATGGATGACTCTGGGCTGACCCGCTCTCACCTCGCCACCTTAGGCACACTCGCCCTCACTGTTTATAATACACTTCTGAGTGACAGCCATTTATGTCCCACTTTCTGTAATAGGACCTGCTCTGCCTATATGTTCTTTGTTAAGGACATAAATCTAATCAAACATAGCTAAATTAATACTTCCCTGTGATGTGGCATGAAAACAGTTGTGCCTAATTATTCCATGACTTTACAAGGCTCACTGTTCCTATAGTGGCGAGAAGGCTACAAGGGCTGTTCTGTTGGGAAGAAAAAAAATCTTTTTATGATCTGAGTGGAAAGAATGGGACTGGCGCATGCAGGATTCTGTCAAACTCGCCCCCAAAGCACCAAATGAGACTAGTAAATATGAAACTAGCAAGATATCAGTGCAACAAACACTGTTCTGTCCATCTGGATTAGACTAATGTTAAAAGCAGGGACATCTTGTGTGGCCTCTTTGAAACTAAAAACTATTTGACAATATAGCCTTCAACATTTAGGTATATTCTTAAGATTTTATTCAACAATGCTTTTGAGAGATACAGCTTCTCCTCTGTGTCTTTCTACAACTTGTGTCTTAAGATCAAGGTTACAATACTTATTTGTCAGCAGGGTTAAACATTTACCTGATGGTTTCCAGGCGTGTTTTACCAGTGCGCTGTCTTTACCTCATTTGGAAAGAATCCAAAAACATGCTTGTGACACCAAGGGTTTGTACCAGCTGCTGTTAGGGGAATCCATGGAGGCCAAACAGAGAAACAAATCCAGGCTCACTGACTGTATGGGAGTTTACGATTATAATGAGGTGTGAGTAGAGGTAGCACTGAGAAGCATTAGATGTTGCTTTGTATAAAGAAGCTAATTTGACCCGGCAGCCTCTCTGACGTAAATGTTTTCATAGCCAACATTACGTACTACAGCTGTGACTTATGTGTGTGGATTTAACCTACTTTTCTTCTCATTTGGTAGCATTTGCAATATCTGAGGTATTATACAATGTA